ACGGTTAGGGCAAGGATATAAATAGAATGAGCTTAAGAGTGAAATATAAATAATACACTGGGGAACAGAGGGTAGCTTCACACTGATTTCTCTGTAGGTATATTGCAGAACTTCATGACATAAAATAGTTAATGAGTGGATTTGGACTTCTCAGCATTTGTTTTTGTGACAGTCTTAGTGCTGTTAAATAGCAAATGTAACCATTTCAGTGTGTAAGTTGCAGACGTACTGGAGTTAGGGCATGTAGAATTTGGCTGCTGTCCCAGAGTAGATGGGATACTCCTAGTAGGAGTTTGGCATTAACAGCATTTTGTTTTTCTTCCAGCTTATGTATGATGACTGCTGTATTGGAGGAAGACAGCTGACATTTTAAAGCAGAAGTTTCTGTGAAAAGTGACTATGTACATATGTATAGGAAAAAAAGCCTGACTTTCTTCATTTAAAAAGAAAGTCTATACTCGAAGGAGAAAAAAGTACTGAGATACTACACTGCCCAGCCAGGAGCACGTCATGCTAGCAGGTTCCATGTTCTGACCTGTACTTCAGTAACAGGAATGGGATGTGTAACATTGTTAAGAGATCAGTGAACGTGCACACCATCTGATAAAGAGCTACGTTATCTAATTTTCTCTGCTGCATGAGGATAACAGACTGCACGTCCAATGTGCTGTAAAAAATGCATTTGAGAGCGGCCTTGTGACACTAAGTGCTGTGAGGAGTGCTCATCCCCTCGGTGGCAAGACAGGCCTGCACAAACGTCCCATCTGCTTGAAGACTGTGAAGCTGGCATTAGGTTAAGGCACTGCTGTGCCCTGCTCCCTGACCCTGGCTGCTCAGGGTTGAGGTGCAGCAGGTGGAGAAGTCTGACCATGGGAAAGGTGACCTGGCTGCTGGGAGGAAGGTAGCAATGATGTTAACTGTGGGCATTGGAAACTGTGTGTTTCACACCATGTGTGTCGTAATTGCTACACTTTTTAGCAACTGTAAAGAATGTAAATACTGTACATTTTTGTTTATAATTATTTTGGTACCTGTGAGATATGTATTTATTAAAAAAGGCAAATTTCTGTACCCAGCCTTTGAAACAGTTCATTATCCATCTCATCATGAGCTGCATGGGATCCACATGATCAGCTTTTTCAGTAATAGCTGATGTAGTAAGCATATGGGGTCAGAGGCTGGGGGGTTTTGGGTAGTCCACTACAGGAAGAGTAGGACATGTAAGCAGCTTTCAGCTCCCAGCATTTCTCCTGCAGCTAATTTTAGCAACACACGTAGGTGTAGCTTCCTGTGCTGGTTGTTGCAGGCGGGTAGGGGGTTGGGATTCCCCTCCTGCTTCACAAGTGCCAGATTGTGCATGCTATGGAGAGACTGAGTCTATCTTCAGTGAGAGGTGCCTGCTCTAGGGGCACCTTTTTTTCAAGCTCCTGGTGTCTGGGGGTGCAGTGAGGATGCAGAGCACAGCTTTGAAACCTGGTTACTCTTGTATTGACTTGCTCAGGGATGTTTGCAGAGCAGCCCTGTGCCTGCCTTCCCTCTCATTTATCACAGCCTGAATCTGCTTTGAACTTGGACACCTTCAGACTTTCCAGTGGGGATTTCCGCAGGAAGGAGTGCATGCCTGGGGAAGGAGCACTGCTGCCTTTCACCAAACTGCGGGTGGGGGCCTCCCCTTCTCCCTGCTGTGGGAGCTGCAGCTCTCCCTGCCCAGCCTACAGCTATGAAATAGGTGCCCTTAACACGTTTAAGTTATTCCTCTATGTTTTCACCAGGAATTAGTGCAGATGGAATAATTCTGCTTAAACTCCCATCTGCATCTGATCGCCTTTTGGCAGTGTGGTGCAGAGCAGGCCTAATTTTAGCTGCAGATACTGGAACAGTATGTGATGAACATAAAGCGATCGCTCAGTTGAGTGAAGCATGACCACAGCCAGCTTTCGGGCTGCATTTCACCTGTGCCACAACCTTGGGATCAGGGTGGGGTGCGTCAGAGCTGCTGACGCAGGACAGAGCTCTGCTAGGAGCACCAGCCAGGGGACTTTTGTGCAGCTGGCAGTTGGCCAGGCTTAAAAGCCAGTGTGGGCGGTGATGGTTCCAGCTTGCACAGGGAGACCCTTTTCCTCTCCCATGAGGGATTTCTGATACAACCTGTGCAAAGGGCTGTTTGGTATGAGGAAGAGCACTGCAACTGCCTGGGTGCTTCTTAATTTGCATGGGAGCTAAAGGCTGTTGTGGAAGTGACTGTACAGAAATTGTAATCCTGAGTCATTTATACTTCCCCTCCACTCTCATAGCATTAGAATTGCCCAGGTGTACACACTGGAACTTCCTTCTTGTAGAAAGGGCTATGCCTGAAGTTCAAGCCTGCACATTTTCCAGGACTGGGTCTGTGCAATAATCTTTTTTTCTGGGGCTTTGGGCCTCACCCTGCACTCCTGCAGATATAGCACCTACTAAATCTGATCTGTGGATGAAGTGGTGGGGGTTTATCCACCTACAGCAAAGAATCCCAGACAAATTTCAGCCTTTCCTGATTAAGCACCACGTTGCAACAGTTGAAAATAGAAAATGTTCCAACGTCCAGCTACATCCCAATTTCCCACTGACAAAACATGGGCTTGAAATTATGTCAGGGTCCTTTGGAAGCATTCACCACCTATAGATATCAATGTGCTGGAAGTGCTGAGGTACATGGCTAGACCTGGTATACAAATATTTAAACAGATACCATCTGAATACAAATATTTTTTACTGAAAGGCTGGAGCGAGAGAGAAAAGTGCAGTTATCAGGAGTATCGGTCTGGTTGAGTATGTTCAGAGGCAGTTGTATGTTCCCTGGTGCCCAGTGCAACATTTAGACAAATAATACCTTAGGCAGGTGCAGTTATAACATCATAAGAGTTCTATAATGACTGAATAAATGAAGCAAATGCTGTACTGCTGTACAAGGAAGTTCTACAGCTAACCAAATCATTGCCAAAGTACTGGTTATTCTACTGTTTGCCTTCATCAGTCATGCAAAAGTAACAAAGTAGTGAAAATGCAGGAAATGCAGTTTAAAGCAAATAGGACAGAGAGTAATGTGAGAATATGTGTCTGTTCACAAACTAGCTTTGGGCATGTTTTATATTTGCAGCCACTCCACAGGATATATTGCTAGTGCAGTGTTTCGCCTTTTCACTTGATGGAACTTGATTGTGCTGTAACACAGAAGTGAAGATCATCCATTATAAGTTACCCCCCCACCTCCCAAGAAAGCAAATTTTGACACATGCCCTTAGCCACTGCTTATCTGCACTCTTTTCCACACCTATCCTTTTTGAAAGATCTTTTGAGACTGGCTTTGTTGATAACCTTCTGCTTCCTTCTCAGCACTCTTGTAGACATGTCTCATTAGTGAGCATAGGAAAGGAAGATCCTTAAGCATTCATTCATTCTGCCACCATGGCTGCTGTTAGCAGAACAACACAGCTTGCTCTCACTTGTCTGCTCCCTCCTGCCAATGCTCCTCCACGTTGGCCCAAAACTTTCTTCCAGCACCTTGAATGCTTTGAATAGGGCACTATGAGGCTCAGCAATCTTTAAAGGGTTCAAAAGCATCCATTCCACATACAGATCAGGGTCCGATTCAGTTTAGTTTCAGTTTCCTGACTGGCAACTGCCAGGAGCATGCACTACAGAAAAGCATACAAAAAGAGCAACTATCAAGCAGTACTGAGCACAGTCTCCTAATTTCAGCAACCCTGTGATTTAAAGACTACCAGAGATCAAGGTGGCCTCTTTCTGTGAGATGGTTCTTCATGAGGTTTTATTGTACAGAACTTGTTAACTTCTGAAGTTGCTGCACACCTCCAACATCAGCAGCATCTTGTGACAGGATTGCCCCAGTCCACTTACAAGTGGTGTGAAGAAGCAATCAGATAACTTCCTTTGAAATGCCCCTGACTACAGACTGATCCTCATAGCACATTCTCCTTCCGTTTTATCCTGTGGTATCACAACTCTATTTCCTCCTGAGACTGCAACTTTTGCTGCCTTCACTCCATGGACATTGCTGCCCTGGAGCTGCTGGGGACTTCCCACACAGGATCCCTCATCCCTCTGTTCTTCAGAACCAGGACAAGCACACAGCAGTACATTTCTCCCATTCCTTGGGAATTCCCTCGGTATTTTTTCTTAATGTAATCACACCTATTGTTATTAGCAGGGTCAGTTCTCTCTATTAGCCCAGGTCTTCAGCACCTTTGTCTTCCCCTTTTCTGCTCAACCAGCAGCATGATCTGCCTTTTCCTGCTCTTCTCTGCACTCCAGACTGAGCCCTTTCTTTGGGTCTCTCCTGTTCTCCTGCACCAGCTTCCCTGTGAACTCATTCACTCATCCACTTTCATGCACTGTACTCCACGAGCTAGCATTTTTGTGTCCATCCTGTGCCCTTTGCTTGTATCTGTAGATCTCTTTGATAATCTCTCAGGGATATTTCCATACTTCCTTATATTGCACAGACAGGTCTGAACTCTATTTCCTCCCACACCCTCCTCTTCCTCTTAGTACTCTGGCTCCATGCAGGCCTCTCTTACCCCCCAGCAAATTCTGAACCCTTCTCTTTAACTCACTGTAGAAATTGTGAAGATGCAGATGTCTCACCTCAGCCTCTCTACCCTCAACAAGGAGAGGTAGGACAGGCAGCCCTTGTGTTGGGCAGCTCACAGCATGAGGGGCCTGCGCTTCAAGATTTAACTCCTACATTGCAGGATTTAATGCCTATAGTGTGGGGTTTAACTCTTGCTCTACTGCAGCCCTTCATCATTAGGAAATGGCTCCCTGTTGACTCTTTGGTATTTAACATACCACACGTAGCACAGAAGCACTACTGGACCAGACAGGGCCAAGACACAAGGTTTAGCAATAAACTGGCCCCACATACAGCTAGTGGGCCCTGCTGCACCAAAAGGCAGGGAGGACACTAAGAATCTTAATCTGTTTAAAAAACAGTTGCTGGCTTTACCCCACAGCTTTAATTTATTTATTTGGGACAGGAACTGCGGCCACACAGCCTCTCCTCATCTCCAACAGCCAGTCAGAGCTCTCTGAAGCCTACACATCAGAACCAAAAGCTGTTACATTTAACATGGTTTTAGTGTAAGAAACCAAAGTCCAGAGGGCTTGAAACAGGACCATCCCTTCCCTGGAGGTTTGACTTCCCTTCTTCCCCCTCACTTCAGCTCTCAGTTTGTCCCAAGGCCATGTGCTTGTCCAATTCTCCAAAGAGGACTTTCCAGTCTGGATCTGAAGAAAGATGGGTTTTTCTCTGCTCAATCCTTTCTGCTGTGTCACTGCTTTAGAGCCATCACAAGCCGCTGCAATGCATGCTGTCACTTTTCCCAGCAGTGGTCACACTGCTTGTGGCCATAGAGGTCTTACCACCTCTCCAGGCAGACTGGTCCCCACTCTGGTCCCACCTCCTGCCTGCTGCTACCCTGCTTATTTATTGAGCTTAACCTGGGGATTAGTGTTCTTACTCAGAAGGAATAGGCCCCCAGACCTTCAATTTAAATCCTTTTCATGTTCCCTGTTTAAGGACACCCTGAAAAGAAGCTTGTCATCCCTCCAATCAAAAATAAAACACAAAGCACAATGTGAAAACAAATGAGTGAATGTATGCAAAGTGCTGCAAGATCATCACACAGAAAGAGCCTTAAAACGCAAACATTTCTAACTTGAGCGCACCCAGAAAAGTGCACATGGCTATGATTACAGAGTAAGTTTTAACTCAGTTAATTATTATCCCAGGATTTCAATAGCTTGGAGGAGGGAGTTTCACAAGGAAGGAGGGAAGAGTTCTGCAAGCACTGTGCTTCACAAGCCTGTTTGTCTGCACCTGGGACTGCCCAGGTGTTGCACAAGAGGCAGCCCACACTGAGCAGCTGCCAGCAAGGGGCTGTGCTGCTCACCATGCACAGTGCAGGAGGACTTGAGCTGTCTTTTTCCTCTCTGCATGGGAAAAGGACACGCAATTTCTGAGCTAGAGATCTAAGCATGTGTTGAACCAAGGACTGAAAGTCAGTAATGATAGCTGCCTGGCCCAAGCAGCACACAGAGCGAAACCACCCTCTTATTTAAATTTTTCTAAGAGGAGAACTTTCCACTCCAATCTGCGTCAGGGCTGATGCTTCTGGACTCAAGCTAAAACACCAGCCTGACTTCTTGTAGCAGCCTCTCTGAGAAGCTTTGCACCAGCAAACAAGAAAGCAAACAAAATCTCACCTCAGCTGCATGAAGCCTACTTACCCTGGGCTGTGCCAAGCTTGGTCTGAGGAAAACTCTTCAGAAGAGGGGGATTCACACCACCCACTCACCTCTAAACACACTTGACCTGCACCTCCTGTCTAACTGCCTCAGGAAATTTCCTGAGCTGTAGCAAAACGTCCCACACTGCCTGTCTGCCCAAGACCTACCCATTCTCCCATCGCTACAGGCTTGCCCTACAGCAACAGCAAGCTGAAATACCTGGCATTGAGATGCTGGCATATCCTGTGGGTCCCTGGCCCTCTTTTTAAGGTGGTTATTTTTCACATGAAAATGCATTAAGCTTTTCCCACTGTGTGATTTTTGGATCTGCTCCCAGGGTAAGAGAGGTGGACAGCCACACACAGCCAGCGCTTCTGCCAGCATTGCCTTCTGCCCTGGTGACAACACACCAAGCCAGTTAGTTTTCTTCTCTGTGCCGGCAAAGGAGGCTGACCTCCAAAACGCATAGGTATCTGCTTCCCTTTGTGAGCCATTTCTGTTTCCAAAGGACCTGTGAAGTTAGGAACCAGTAAGTCTTCATTTCCTTTTTCAGAGAACTCTTGACAAAGTGGGATGAGGAAGCCACCCAGATCATTTTGCAGTTGGCTGTCTTCAGCGCTTCCTTCCTTCCAAGCAGCATTCAAGGTGGTCCATTGAGACTGGATGCTCTGGGAAGCCCATTCCTAAACGTAGCTGTGCTGAAGGGTAGCAGATAAGAGGAAAAAGCTGTATCCACACACTGTCTCAAACTGGAGAAGAGCATGTCAGTACAGCACAGCAACAACAAGGCACAAATAACACCTAGCACACTTTTCATAAACATTTAGGTGTGCAGAATAGGCAAATGTACCTGCACTGCAACATCCTGAGAATTAATGCCAATTTCACCAGACTCTCTGCTTAATTTAATAAAAAAGTGGAATACTTCAGAATAGCTGTTTTCCCCCCCAATTTCAAAGGAAACATTCTGTTTTGCTTTAGGTAGAAACAATTATTATTAAAAAACAAACAAACAATGATTAAAATAATATTAAGAACTTCTGAACTAAAACAGAATACTCAGGAGGCTTAGAAAACAAGGTTTTTTGTTTCTTTTTTTTTTTTTTTCCTTTGGAAACATTAGATGTTTTTGTCACTCACCTGTAATAATTTTTCTCCCAAGTTTTTGCAATTGTGATAACACAGTTTCTTCTTCCACTCTTCTCCTGACTCATGTGAACTGGGCATACACCTGACCTGGGGCTTGCTGTCTCATCTGTGAAAAGCCAGCCCCAAAATTTGCATCCAATTGTAGTCTCTACAGTAGCTATTAAAATCCTTGGGTTTGTTTAGGGGCAGGTTTTCAGTTGGCCTTGCAGCTGAAAGCCTTCAGTCAGGTCTACTCAGCTGCCCATTGCAATTTGAGGCATTCCTTCACCTCACACAGGTGGATCCTATTTCCTACATCCACTGACTCTATCTTTTGGCTGCTCCAGATGAACAGCATTAGAAGATAGCTCACAGGAGAGGATATTTTCAAAATAGATCCAGAGAATTTTGTTGTGGTGGAAGTTTTGGGGCTGGAAGCTTACAGCTTCTCACAGGTTAATGGATGCTGATTCAGGCACCTTGTGGTTAGTGTCCTGGTGTGTAAGATGTTACCCATGACTTAGACCATGTCTCCACGCTGATTCAACCAAAGGCGTGAAGCCAGTGCACAGGACCCAGGGCTGTTAGGTGTTTCCCATGCAGATGCTTTCATTTAGCACCAAAGTTGCATGAAAGGAACTCATTTTGTCCTTCTCTTCCTGTGGGTAAGTCCCTCGCATTGCGAGCAAGTTTGTCATGAAACACCAGCACAAAGGACTTCTTAGCATTGCTTTAGGAAAAACATTATCTCCACAGCTTCACTAACTGTACAACTGGACCCTTGGCTGCTGTAACCACAGGGGAAAGATAAACCTGTATAGCGTTATTAATGATTTTCCTTAATGTTGTATGAAATATCATCTTCATCTCTGGTCTGCAAAGCATCCGAGTCGTTGAGCACAGCTAAAATTAGCAAGGGAGCTGTTTGGAAGCAGCATTCCTATGGGCGGTGGTGAGCTGCCTGGTGAGTAGGGGTCTACCAGTGCAAGCTGCCTTGGGGAAGCTGCTGCTGTGAATGACACCATCCTTCCTGGAGAGACAGCAAACCACCCCAGCATGGGTGTGAAGAACGATGGAGCAGTGCTGGGTCCTACTATAAAGGGAGCTTTAAAGGGTGATCTAAAATGAAGGTATGCCCTAACGCAGGTTGGGAGAGGCACCATCTGCCCACCAGTTCCACTGAAGTGAGCAGGAGTTCAGCGCCTTTCCCACTGAGCCTCCAGGAGTTCTCCTGGAGGAAGCAGGAAAGTGCAAGCTGGCTCCCAGTGAGGGATCTGACTTTACCTTATTTTGTGAAGTGGTGAAAAAGAGGCAGTGATGGTAAATGCAAATATCTGCAACACATCAGGGCCTCAGCACGGAAAATACTTTGAACCTGCTCACCCCTTGCAATACACAAGCATGCAGATAAAGGAGCAGTGTGGCTGTGACATGTGATTCACATGGGCCTTGCTGCAAAGACCAACTGCTCTTCTGGAAAGAAATGTTGCTGAAAAGTCTCATTGAGTAAGGAGTCTTTGGACTCCCTCTGAGACATGGTTGAAATAGGTGCTGAAGATCTGCTCTTAAGAGGGAGAGCTTGACACGCATTGCTGCCTTCGGCATTACAAGAAATGAAGAAGAAAGAGGAAATGATCTGAGCTGTATGCACGCAACATGAGCTGCATCAAACAGCAGTTAGTACGATTCTCCCAGGATGCAGTGTTGCAGCTACATTACTGTCACTCTCTCTCTTAGTGCTGACAGCCAAATTATTTCTTGCATAGCTGTAGTCACACACCTAATAAGCTTGATCCTGCACAAACCCAGAGCATCTTCCCTTTGCTAACGGGCATTCTTTTGGGTCCTGTGCCTGCAAAGCACCAAGATCTCCAGTGTAATTCCAGACATGGTGCTGGCATGGCTCTGAGCATCCCCAGGGTGGGCCCCAGCTCCACCCAGCCCTTGCAAGCTGTGTGCTCCCCATCTGCCAGCCAGGCTGCGGGTGTCACACAAGAGAGCCTCTGTGCCAGCAGCCAGCACAGCGCACACTGATTAATTCTAAAGGAATGAGGGAGAGGGAAAGAGATGTTTTTGCTAGCAAGCAGCCAGCAATTAAGGATTGCAATAATACTAATGAGCCTGACCAAGGGTGATATTAGCTTCTCAAAATACTTATAGCAGAACTAATACTACAGGTCTGCAGTGGGGAAAGCTGAAGTGTAGCTACTCGATGGTTTATCTTATCCCTGCTGCTGGGTGCCATACATAAAGCATCCCTGATCCATCAAAGCACTTTCCAGGGACAGAGAGCAGCAGGGGCTGAGAGAGTGAAGCCTCTGGCCCTGTCACTGCTACCCCAAGTCTGCATGTGCCCCAGGTCACTAGGACCCAGCACAAACCTGCCCTGGAAACAAGGCAGAGCCTGCAATGGGCATGCAGCCTGCAGGACTCGGACTGTGAGCTCCCTGGGGCTCAGGCTGCTTGCAAATATCATTGTGCATCTGCCTGGAGAAGGTGTACTGCCAGTCCTCTCCTTTGCAGGGCCACAAGGATTACAAACTGGTAAAAAACAGCACTGGCAGAATTAAAAGTGTGATGCTTCCAGCTGTAAGTGTACCCACCAATGTCTGCTGTTCAGGCCCTCCCTCTGTGCAGGGCTTTCCTCAGGTGCATTAGGTTCCAGCAAAAGAGCAGATTTCCATCGGTGATATATAATAATGTGAGGTGAAAGACTGTGGGGTCATGAGCAGAGTAAGGTGGATATTAAGTAGGATTTCTGGCTGGGCCTGGCCCATGCAGTTCCATCGGGTTTCACCTTTGCTCAGCCCATCTTGCAGAGGCGCTCTATGCAAATGCAGTTCTCAAGCTCTAACACACGTGACTTTTGAAATGTTCAAGCTATTCAGAGAACAATTTATAGGATCAGATTTTCCTATGTCCCCTCAAGTCATTTTATTAATCACTGGGACCATTCTCAAATGCCTTTCAACACTGAGAAATTCCAGTTAATCATAGCCTGCCCTGCTATCACCCTTCTCAGCATTAGATGGAGAAAGAAATGATGCAGCGAGGACCTTAGTCACACTAACAGTGCTTCAAGGCTAAGCGGGGAATGGGATGTGAATCATCTTTGCCTTTTCTTTCATTTAAGGGAAATAGAGAATACAACTGCTGCTGTGAGTACGAAATGCAAAAGACAGTGACAGCGCTTCCTGCTTTATTCCCACACGGGTCCATGCAGCCCAATCCTTCCCTGCGTGCAGTTATATGGACTGAAATAACCCAGCTCTATTTAAAGCCAATCCTTGGAGATTTGCTGACTGCATCTGAGTGAACACAAAGCTGTTATCCAGGACTGGTTGTGGAGTGAACCAAAGGATACTTTCCAAAAAAGCCGGTTCCTGTTATGTAACTCAACCTCACCTTGTCCAGAGACTTTTTGTGCATTACAGATGTAGAAGGGCAGCAGGATGTGGTGTGAGGAGAAAGCAAACCAGCTTGTCAGGAAAGTGCAAGCATGGTAATGATAAGCACTGCACCCCTTCACTTTTAAAAAAATTTTCAGTTTGCTGAAATCAACAGGGCACTTTTGGCACCCAAGGTACGGAGCAAGGAGCAGCTTGAGCAAGCAAAGGGGAATACGAAGCCATTGGCCAACATGGTAGGGAACAGAAGGTGAAGCAGGATCTCCCTCATGCAGCCCCACAGGAGTGGATCCCCTGCTGCAAAGGAGCATCCAGAATTTGTTTATGTGCTTTAAGCAAGGGCTCTACTAAAGAGCTGAGCGCTCAGCTCCAGCTCCTTCTACCACTTCAGCCTGCTCCTGCCCTACTAAACGTAAAGACCTTTTGGGGCATTGAGGCCATGGTATCTGCAGTGGTTTCCTGCCAAAGCAACAGGAAGCTGCAGGCATCACATCTACGCCCAGAAGCTGGTCATGCTGTGGAGCCTTTGCAAGCTGCCTGAAAGGGTCAGGGCCAGGCAGTGAGCCTGTGGCAAGGAAAAGCTGTGCAACTCACTGCAAGCCAGCTGGGCAACTGCTTGCTGCAAGGAAAGAGCTCATTGCATGTCTGCCCTAGGGAGGAATCCTAGCGAGCTTCTGGACAAGCAGCAGCTGCTGTGCTTTTGTTGGGATTTCCTGGCCTGAAATACATGTATATGTGCTGTGGTGCTGTGCATACACTGAGCCTGACAGGTTGTATGCATCAGGCTTCCTGCACAGTGGGCGGCAATCTGCTCAGGGTGGCCAGAGAGCTGCAGCTGCTGTTGCACAACAGATCCCAGCATTTCCAAACACTTGGCTGTTGCTGGACCACAGCTGTAGTGCTGCCTGGTGTCAGCCCAACCAAAGCTCTTGGCTTCAGCACCAGCATCACTTTCAACGGTGCTAAGAGCCTGTCCAGGCACAAGGTGCCCGCTCTGTGTTTGGTACCCTCTTTCAGGAACTAAGATGTGGCCACCTGCCCCTGCTGGTCCCTTCCATGAATTAACATGCACACGCCATCAAGCTGCTGGCTTTCCTGGCTGATCTGAGCACGACTCTGGATAGCAAGCTGCCATTAATCTAACAGCCAGGTTTGTACATTGCATAGCTTGTCATTAACTTCGGTACATCTCACTTTTTTGTTGACATGAGTTCCTAGCTGTCCATGCTCAAATGACATGTGGAGCCTGGAATCTCCCCACCCCCAAACCCTTCTATCACTGGATAAAGCCACCTCCCTAAACCATGGCCAACAGCCTAATTGCAGCTCTCAGCAGCATGCCTGTATTAACACACTCCCACACTGTAATGCCAAGGTAACAGATTCAGGCTGCAGCCCTGTGTGCAGAGATAGTGTTGACAGTTTTCTTGTTCTGCCTCAAAGCCATTCAGCCCATCTTCCCCCCCACCCCCCACTGCTGCCAGCTAGTAGCAGTAAAGCAGTGTCCCCTTACATGAGCTCCTGTGCAAAACAGGCTAGGAGCTCACTGTTTTGTTTTACTTGATGAGATTTATCAGCCTAAAGGGATAAACAGGTCCGTTCCTAGAAGCTTTGCTGCAGGAGCTGGCAGCCTCCACCAGTCACCAGAGACAAAGAAGAGAAGGCAATGCCAGAAGTTACATGAGATGGCAGCTTCCAAGGCCACTCCTCTCCCTCCATCAGCCTGAGCACATCCCTCCAGCAGGCCCTGCCACAGCTGCACGCTCCTGCAGAGCCTTTGTGAAATGTGGGAATCAAAGCTGTGCTTAGGGCAATCTGA